TATCCTTGGACGCTGGGATATGCTGACGATGTACTGCTGATGACAGATCCAAAGGGAAATTAGAACGGCGCGTCAACCGCTGGAAGAGAGAGCTTGCCAGCCATGGACTCAGGCTTAATATAGGAGATGCCAAGGCCGACACCACTGCAAGAATCAACGCTGCATGGAGCAAATGGAGATCTGTTACTGGCGTTCTCTGTGATAGGAGAATACCAATACGCCTGAAGTCAAAGATCTACACTTCAGTCGTGAAGCCAGTCGCCATCTCAAGAAACAAGCGCCTACGGTGTTATGGAGATGAGAATGTTACGATGGAGTCTGGGACACACGCGACTCGACCGAATCCGCAACGAAACAGTCCGAGACAGGATGAAGGTCCACCCGATTGCCAACTCCCTTGCCGCAGCTCGTCTCCGCTGGTATGGTCACGTTCAACGGAGACCTCCTGATGCTGTATCGAAGTCCGCTGATAAGATCGTCTTCGCCGGTAAACGTCCAAAAGGCCGACCTAGAATGCGGTGGAAAGACAACCTAAATATGATATGACTGGCCTGTCCGCAGCCGACTCTATTTGCAGGGACCGTTGGAAAGCGTTGGTCAAAGAAGCGTACCCGACAACAGTTGGACAAGAACGCTAAGAAGAAGAAGAAGATGTGCTTTACTCTAGTTATGCAATAAAACAAAACTAATGGTCAAGACGATCTAGGTCCTACCAGAGTGAAGATGTGGCTGAAACTGAAGCGAGCACAATCTATTTCAATAGCGCAATGGATTATCGCGGTCTGTGCTCCATTGCAGCCGGCGGTGTATGCAGATTGCCGCGTACGCGACGTCGCGTACTTCTAAAGACCGTATCCGCATCCCGTGCAGCAAGCCTGTGCTGCCCCGTTTGTATGTCTGCGCAGCCGTAACTTATTCGTTGAAAGGCGCAGACGAGCAGAAAAAATTGAAGTATGCCTCCGTATGTCCCCCCCAACAACCACACACATCAGCACATCAGCTCTTTTTTATGGTGAGCAGTATCTGAACTCTCCTGCAGCTCTCCCTTCCGAAGTCCGACACGCCATCTCGTCGGTGAAGAACCACGGCACCCGGTCCCGACAGGATCAGACCCGAACATCTGAAGAATCTTCCGCCAGTTCTTGTCAAAACTCTGGCTCGACTCTTCACGCTACCTGTCGGAATGCAAGGTACCCACCTCGTGGAAAACCAGCAAGACTGTGTTGCTGTACAAGAAGGGAGACCTGTACGACATTGGCAATTATCGCCCAATCTGCCTGCTGTCTGTAGTCTACAAACTCTTCACACGAGTCATCCTGAACAGGATTGGCAGAACACTAGACGAAGGACAGCCATGCGAGCAGGGTTTCGAAGAGGATTCAGCACGATCGATCACATCCACACGGTAACGAAGCTCATCGAAGTATCGCGAGAGTACAAGATGCCGTTATGTCTCACGTTCATCGACTTGAAGAAAGCCTTCGACTCCGTTGAGACAGAAGCGGTTAAGCCTGGGCAACCAGGGTATTCCTACTCAGTACATCAGGATTCTTCGTGAGCTCTACAGCAACTTCACGACCAAGATCTCACCATTCTACAAGGAGATCATCATCGATGTGAAGAGAGGGGTCCGACAGGGCGACACCATCTCGCCCAAGCTCTTCAGCGCCTC